CTCAGGCCCGGGGAGCCTGCTGAGCTCCCAGGCCAGTCCCCTGCCCTCCGAGGCCCCCCCCCACCCCGGCCACATTGGTCCTGGGGGCATAGGAAGGAGGCCGGGGAGCTGAGGAGAGGCAGACAGGAGGGGCCCTCCAGGACCAGAGGAGCGGGAGAGTAGAGGAAGGCGTTTGCCCCTCTCACTCAAGTCTAGGAAGCCTGCTGGGCTCCCAGGTGAGGTCCCCCACCCTCTGAGACCAGGGGTGGGGGGGCACGCCTGGGCCCCTTCTGTTCCGTTGAGCCTAAGCCCCACCTCCTACAGACCCCAGGGCCTTTTCCAGCCCTGTGGGTCCTGAGCACTGGCCCCACCCAACACCCAAACCTTGCCCTTGCTTAGGCCCCACCCTCCAGAGTCAAGGCGTTTACCCCCCCTTTTTTGTTTGCTTTTTTTCTTCTTTTCCCTCCTCCTCTCTTTTATTTACTATTGTGGTACTGTTGTACCTTCTGGTTGTCGATTCATCTATATTTTAATTTTTACATTCTTTCTAACATATCTGTTAGTTTCCTAGTCTAATTTTATTTTTTACTTTGCTACTGTTCTCTCTCTCTCTTTTTTTTTTTTGCCACCCCACGTGGCTTGCGGGATCTTGGTTCACGAGCTGGGGGTCAGGCAAAGGCTCCTGTGGTGGGAGCTCCGAGTCCTAACCACTGGGATAACAGAAACCTCAGACACCTCAGGGAATGTTCATCAGAGTGAGGTCTCATGGAGGTCCTCATCTCAGCACCAAGACCCAGCTCTACACAACAGCCTACAAACTCCAGTGTTGGAAGCCTCAGGCCATACAACTAGTAAGGCAGGAACACAATCACACTCACTAAAAAAAAAAAAAAAAAAGATGGCAAAAAAAAGTCACAAATGAAGAAAAAAAAAGAGATGGCAAAAAATAGTCACAGATGAAGGAGCAAGGTAAAAACCTACAAGACCAAATAAATGAAGAGGAAATAGGCAATCTACCTGAAAAAGAATTCAGAGTAATGATAGTAAAGATGATCCAGAATCTCGGAAATAGAATGGAGGCACGGATTGAGAAAATACAAGAAATGTTTAACAAAGATTTAGAAGAACTAAAGAACAAACAAACAATGATGAACAACACAGTAACTGAAATGAAAAATACACTAGAAGGAATCAATAACAGAATAACTGAGGCAGAAGAATGAATAAGTGAGCTGGAGGACAAAATGGTGGAAACAACTGCCAAAGAGCAGAATAAAGAAAAAAGAATGAAAGGAATTGAAGGCAATCTCAGAGACCTCTGGGATAACACTAAACACACCAACATTCGAATTATAGGGGTCCCAGAAGAAGAGGAAAGTAAGGGTCTGGGAAAATATTTGAAGAGATTATAGTTGAAAACTTTCCTAACATGGGAAAGGAAATACTCAATCAAGTTCAGGAGGCACAGAGAGTCCCATACAGGATGAACCCTAGGAGAAGCACACCAAGACACATATTAATCAAACTAATCAAAGAAAAAATATTAGAAGCAGCAAGGGAAAAACAAAAGATAACATACTAAGGAATCCCCATAAGGTTATCAGCTGATTTTTCAGCAGAAACTCTACAGGCCAGAGGGAGTGGCAGGATATACTTAAAGTGATGAAAGAGACAAACCTACAACCAAGATTACTCTACCCAGCAAGGATCTCATTCAGATTCAAAGGAGAAATCAGAAACTTCTCAGACAAGCAAAAGCTAAGAGAATTCAGCACCACCAAAGAAACTTCTCTAGGCGGGAAACACAAGAGAAGAAAAAGACCCACAAAACCAAACCCAGAACAATTAAGAAAATGGTAATAGGGACATACATGTTGATAATAACCTTGAATGTAAATGGATTAAATGCCCCAACCAAAAGACACAGACTGGCTGAATGGATACAAAAACAAGACCCGTACATATGCTGTCTATAAGAGACCCACTTCAGACCTAGAGACACATACAGACTGAAAGTGAAGGGATGGGAAAAGATATTCCATGCAAATGGAAATCAAAAGAAAGCTGGAGTAGCAGTACTCTTATCAGATAAAATAGACTTTAAAATAAAGACTGTTACAAGAGATAAGGAGGGACACTACATAACAGTCAAAGGACCAATCCAAGAAGAAGATATAACAATTGTAAATGTTTATTCACCCAACACAGGAGCATCTCAATACATGAGGCAAATGCTAACAACCGTGAAAGGAGAAATCAACAGTAACACAATAACAGTAGGGGACTTTAGCACGCTACTTACACCAATGGACAGATCACCCAAACAGAAAATAAGTAAGGAAACACAAGCTTTAAATGACACAATAGACCAGATAGATTTAATTTATATCTATGGAACGTTCCACCCGAAAGTGGCAGAATACACTTTCTTCTCAAATGCTCATGGAACATTCTCCAGGATAGATCACATCTTGGGTCACAAATCAAGCCTCCGTAAATTTAAGAAAATTGAAATTGTATCAAGCATCTTTTCTGACCACAACGCTATGAGATTGGAAATCAATTACAGGAAAAAAAACTGTAAAAAACACAAATACATGGAGGCTGAACAACCAAGAGATCAGTGAAGAAGTCAAAGAAGGAATAAAAAAATACATAGAATCAAATGACAACGACAATACGATGACCCAAAACCTATAGGACACAGCAAAAGCAGTTCTAAGAAGGAAGTTTATAGCAATTCAATCTCACCTCAAGAAACAAGAAAAATCTCAAATAAACAATCTAACCCTACACTTAAAACATCTAGAGAAAGAAGAACAAAGAAAACCCAAAGTCAGTAGAAGGAAATAAATCATAAAGATCAGAGCAGAAATAAATGAAATAGAAATGAAGAAAACAATAGCAAAGATCAATAAAACTAAAATCTAAAATCTTTGAGAAGATAAACAAAATTGATAAACCCTTAGCCAACCTCATCAAGAAAAAAAGAGAGAGGATGCAAATTAATAAAATTAGAAATGAAAAAGGAGAAGTCACAACTGACACTGCAGAAATACAAAGGATTGTAAGTGACTACTACAAACAACTATATGCCAATAAAATGGACAGCCACGAAGAAATGGACAAATTCTTGGAAAGATACAATTTTCCAAGACTGAACCAGGAAGAATTAGAAAATATAAACAGACCAATCACAAGTAATGAAATTGAAACGGTAATTAAAACTCTTCCAACAAACAAAAGTCCAGGACCAGATGGCTTCACAGGTGAATTCTATCAAACATTTAGAGACGAGCTAACACTGATCCTTCTCAAGAGTTTGATCCTTCTCAAACTCTTCCAAAAAACTGCAGAGGGAGAAACACTCCCAAATTCATTCTATGAAGTCACCATCACCCTGATAACAAAACCAGAAAAAGATATCACAAAAGAAGAAAATTATAGACCAATATCACTGATGAACATAGATGCGAAAATCCTGAGCAAAATACTAGCAAACAGAACCCAACAGCATATTAAAAGGATCATACACCATGATCAAGTGGAATTTATCCCAGGGATGCAAGGATTCTTCAATATACACAAATAAATCAATGTGATACACCACCTTAACAAATTAAGGAATAAAAACCACATGATCATCTCAATAGATGCAGAAAATGCTTTTGACAAAATTCAACACCAATTTATGATAAAAACTCTCCAGAAAATGGGCACAGAGGGAGCCTACCTCAACATAAAAAAGGCCATATATGACAAATCCGCAGCAAGCATACTCAATGGTGAAAAACTGAAAGCATTTCCACTAAGATCAGGAACAAGACAAGGATGTCCACTCTCGCCACTCTTATTCAGCATAGTTTTGGAAGTCCTAGCCACGGCCATCAGAGAAGAAAAAGAAATGAAAGGAATACAAATTGGAAAAGAAGAAGTAAAACTGTCACTGTTTGAAGATGACACGATACTATACATAGAGAATCCTAAGGATGCCACCAGAAACCTACTAGAAAACAGTATGGAGGTTCCTTAAAAAACTAAAAATAGAACTACCATGTGACCCAGCAGTCCCACTACTGGGCACATACCCTGAGAAAACTGTAATTCAAAAAGACATGTACCACAATGTTCATTGCAGCACTATTTACAGTAGCCAGGGCATGGAGCCTACCAAAATGTCCATCGACAGATGAATGGATAAAGAAGATGTGGCACATATATACAATGGAATGTTACTCAGTCATAAAAAGGAGCGAAATTGAGTTATTTGTAGTGAGATGGATAGACCTATAGTCTGTCAGACAGAGTGAAGTAAGTCAGAAAGACAAAAACAAATACCGTATGCTAACACATATGTGTGGAATCCAAAAAAAAATTTGGTACTGGTGAACCTAGTTGCAGGGCAGGAATAAAGATGTAGACATAGAGAATGGACTTGAGGACACAGGGTGAGAGGGGGAAGCTGGGGTGAAGTGAGAATAGCATGGACATATATACACTACCGAATGTAGAATAGTTAGCTAGTGGGAAGCAGCAGCATAGCACAGGGAGATCAGCTCGGTGCTCTGTGATGACCTAGAGGGGTGGGATAGGGAGGGTGGGAGGGAGGTTCAAGAGGGAGGGATTATGGGGAATATGTGTATACATATAGCTTATTCACTTTGTTATACAGCAGAAACTAACACAGTATTGTGAAGCAATTATACTCCAATAAAGATCTATTAAAAATAAATACATAAATAAATAAAGTGTTAGCTTTGGATGGGACTCTGGAGGTCATTTGAAGCAATCTCCCAATAAAAGATACACATAAGGGAACTGAATTCCAGAAAAGTTAGATGTTTTATCTAGAGCTACTGCTCTTTGGTGACTATGAATACAGAAATGTAATTTGTTTCCCACTAAATTATGAGTCTGATAGACTAGGAGCTGACAGATTAGATTACCAATAGGCACAGCCCAATTTGAAATCTTTACTAAGGTAGATTGTGTCTAACTAATAAAACTTTATCTTGTTTCAGGACTAAAAACTGCAAATTGTGTTGAGAACATGGGTAAGATATGCTCTAAAGTATTCTCTCTGCAATGGGAATTTTATCAGTGTTATTTCTCACAGGAATAGGTCAGAGCCACCCCACTGTACTGTCATACTGTCAGCCATTATCTTCTCAAGGCTGAGTTGTGCTACTGCTACTACCTTTGCAGGGGGAGGGTACAGGGGCCCACCCTAAGCCTATCCCAGCCTTGCCTGTGGCTGTTCTCTCAAGCACTGCATTTGCCTTGGGCATGCAGGGACCATGCCACTCCGACCCTAGCCTATCATTACAGGATTTTGACTCCTGAATACCCCTACATGACTCCTATGCACAGAGTTAGACTTGTATTCCTTTGTTTTGACATCTTGGGAAGTAATATTTGGGAGACTGATGAAGGATTCCTTCCTTCATCAGGGGAAAGACTGGGGGGACAGAACAGTAATGTGGTCTGTTTCCTCTTCCTCAGGGAAAAATGGAGAATATAACAAAAATAGTCTCTCTTAGAGGACCATGGAAAAGATTTGGGAAGGTATACAGGAATTCTAAGAGTATTCAGGAACAACATTATCAAATTAGGCTCAACAGATCTGAACCAAAGTTGACAGGAAATGCCTTGGACTGATGCATGCTTTGGGTGGATCCTTTTGAAGATTGAAGATTTATTTAAATAGCTTGAAAATAAGGGTCCATTTCTAGCTGTCTTCCTGGCTAGTTTTTCTTTGAATTCTTCTTAAAGTAATTAAAATGAATCTATATCCAGTGATTTTTGAGACTGAAATTTTATATTTCTCATATTGCCATATTTTGCATGTATCTTGACCGAACCTGACATTCACGTCTAAGTATAGTACTATGTAATGAAAACATGTTTGTATTTCAGAATATTTTCAACACATCAGTGTCTACAACTCTGGTAAGTATGCTCTGTTTTTAAAAATAATGGATGTTTATTAGCTACACGGATGTTTAATAGCTCTTTCCTGTTCAGCAAATTCAATTCTTAGCTCTGACAAAAAAGAGTACTTTGCACATACGAAGGAGTAACCTGGAAGATATGAGGCGGAAAAAAAGAATCCATTCTGGGGAAATTTACCCCCTTGCAAATGAGAGAGTTGGCTCTCTGGAGATCTGAACAATATGGAACCATTCTGGGGAATAAGGCTGGGCGGACCTGAAGGGCTAGGCACTCTTGACAGGTCTGAGGCCTCTTATGTATAGCTCTATTCTCAGTCATTGAGATTAGCCTGCATGACACCAAACATCCAGATGAAAGTAGAAAAAGTTAGTCATTTGCCTTTTTCAAGTAAGGTGATGTTTGGTATCATTTGACTAAAACATCTGGGTGATTATTTTTTTAATTTTTTAATTTTTTTAATTTTTTTTTTTATTTTTGGCGGTACGCGGACCTCTCACTGTTGTGGCCTCTCCCGTTGCGGATCACAGGCTCCGGAGGTGCAGGCTCAGCGGCCATGGCTCACGGGCCCAGCCACTCCGCGGCACGTGGGATCCTCCCGGACCGGGGCACGAACCCGCGTCCCCTGCATCGGCAGGCGGACTCCCAACCACTGCGCCACCAGGGAAGCCCCATCTGGGTGATTAGACGCTTTCCCCAGCCCCTAAGTTTCCACTTAAGTTCCTTGTTACATATTTGGCCCATGTAGCTACAATAAGTTTTTCTTTATTGAAGAGAGAAAAGTATCTGGCCTTTCCTTAAGTGTGCAGTTTACCTGACGTTTGGAAGATATTTCCTGTCCTTGTGTGAAGGATTTCATGCCCCTGAGGACTTGCTTAGTAACACTTCTTATTGGCAGGGCAGCCACAAGTTTTACTGGTCACTTCACAGGGACTTCAGCTAACTCTTCAAGACAGACATTTTTCTAGCTTGTGGAGATCGCTAGGAGACTTACTGTGTATAAACAGTTTCTCTTAGTAGGAGGGTCCAGAGGAATGTTCCAGCCCAATTAGCCAAGGTGCATTTAGACACTTAAATTTAGTAGCATTAGCTTACTGGATATATCAGGTGGATCTTTATGGCCATAATTACCCGAAAATAGTTCTGCTCCTACTGTGGTAACTCCCAGTTACTTTGTGCTATCATTAAAACTGGTAAGTTTCTTTTTGTAACTTAAGTGAGAAAAAGCAGAAACTTGAAGACCCTGGTAAGACATTTTCATAAACTCTAGGGGCTTACATTTGTGAGACAGCTTCCTGAGGATGGGAGCAGGTGGGCATGGTAAGGAAAAGTGGGAAGAAGGCAGAACCCACATTAGCTTACTAGTTGGTATGTAAGAGACGCTCCTGAGTTCCAGATACCCTTCTTTATAAGGACGGCCCAGCAGCTCTGTCTGTCTCCTATCTAACAATCCATAGGTCATCCCCGCGGAGCAGTTAGAGACATGACATAAGAGACTAGTTCTAGGGCTTCCCTGGTGGCGTAGTGGTTGACAGTCTGCCTGCCGATGCAGGGGACGCGGGTTCGTGCCCCGGTCCGGGAAGATCCCACATGCCGCGGAGCGGCCGGGCCCGTGAGCCATGGCCGCTGAGCCTGCGCGTCCGGAGCCTGTGCTCCGCAACGGGAGAGGCCACAACAGTGAGAGGCCCGCGGACCGCAAAGAAAAAAAAAAAAAAAAAAAAAAAGAAACTAGTTCTAGAGAATTTACTATCTTCTGCTTTAGGCTAGCTGTTACATGGAGAGAGGAAGGTGTGACTAATTATTCCACAAACTCTGTAACATAGGGTGTTCATCAGGAGCATAAAAAATGGCATTTTTTCCTAAATTAAAATGATTTTATATATGTATACATATTTCTGTTTCTAGCAATCTGAGTAACAAATGCTATTAGCTATATCCATTTGATTATTTAGTATATTCCAAAGTATGACTCATTCCCAAATTTTTTTTGTCTTTCTTAAAAATGATATTCTTCAAGGGTGCTGGGACAGAAACACTCTCATAAATTACTGGTGAGATTATAAGTTGGAACTTTTCTGGAGGACAATTTCAACAGTATGTATCACTAGCCTTAAAAATGTCCGTACCTTTTAACCTAGCTATAACACTTTTAGATATCTGTCCTAAGGGAATAAACATAAAAATTTGTGTACAAAGTATGTACAGAAATGTTTATGCAGTGTTATGGTAGCCAAAATTTATAAATAACCTTAGTATCCAACAGTTGGGTATTGTTAAATAAATTATATCCATACTATGAAACACTAACCAATTTAAAAACCATGTTTTTGAAAAATATCTAAAGATATGAGAAAGTACTTATAATACAGTGACAATAAAAATAGGATAAAAACAAACTCTACTCAATACTCTGTAATGGCCTATATGGGAAAAGAATCTAAAAAAGAGTGGATATATGTATATATATAACAGATTCACTTTGCTGTACACCTGAAACTAAAACATTGTAAATCAACTATACTCCAATAAAAATTTTTTAAAAGATAGGATAAAAACAGCATATGGAGTATACTATCAAATTTATTTTAAAATGTCAAACAGTACAAACTTCCAGTTATAAGATAAATAAGTACAGGGGATGTAATGTGCAACATGACTATAGTTAACAGCTGTGTGGTGTATTTGAAAGCTGTTAAGAGAATAGATCCTAAGAGTTCTCATCACAAGGAAAAAGAACCATTTTTTCCTTTTTTTTTTTTTTTTTTGCTATCTGTATGAGATGCCGGATGTTAATTAAACTTATTGTGGTAATCCTGTCACAATATATGTAACTCAAGTCATTATGCTGTATACCATAAACTTATACAGTGTTTTATGTCAATTATATCTCAATATAACTGAGAAAAATAGTAAAAAATGTATATGAGCATGTACATATATATATATATATATATATATATATATATATATATATATAGCAAAGAGACAGGAAATGTACCAAAATAGTAAGACTGAATAGCTCTGATATCTGGGCTTATGAAAGTTTCACTTTTAAAAATAAATCATGACAAATGTAGGTCAGAGTCTAAAAAAAAATCAACAAGAGATATTTTGCTTAATCTAGGAGAGTGCCTGGATCACTAGCCATAGTTCTCACAGTAAGTTAGGC